TATTTAATACTAGACTTATGCTCATTTCTATTAATGTACAATAGATTAACTTTAATCTCGATTCAACTTAATCTTCATTTTTTCCTAATTATATAAATTAAAAAAGATAAAGAGTAAAGTTGAATCGAAATTAAAACTTCTTTACAGACAAAATAAGCATTAATCATTTAACATATAAACGCTTATTATAAACAAATAAGTATAACGGCAAATACGAGTCAAACACGATTGTCGAGACGCAGAAATAAATATAATTCATAAAAGATTTATTATAAAGAGAAAATATTGTTCGTCAATTCCTTGTTAAAATTCTTATTAAAATTATGTGTACCTATTAAATTTTTAACATATTGAAGTACAAATTTAATATATAATGTAATTATATTATTTAAATATTTCGTGTTAAATTGATACTAAACATTTCTTTTAACATCAAAATAACATAATTCACATGTAAACAAATAACATAAGAATAATGTGTTTTAAAACGTAAATTCTGAGATAAATGAATAAAATATTTGTGTTAATTAAATTATAAATAATAATTTTATTCTCTCTGAAAAAATATAATTTCACAGTTTGCTGATAAATTACATTAGAAACACACAATTTTTGTATTAATTCTTTACATTCTTATTTTTAATTCTTTTTTTATACATATTCTTCATGTAAGTATTATTTTTTTAAATTCTTAATGTTTTCTAATATATTCATCTCGCATTTAATTAATATAAAAATTTGAATAGAGAGATCATTTGAGACACGCAATAAAATTTGATACAAATTTTTTAACTGTGTTAGTCTCTATTCTCGTTAAACATTAATTCGCCGAAAACTCAAACTCGACTCTGGTTATATTTCAACTTCAATTCTTATCGTGTAATATGATATTTGAAGATTATCAAGATACGTTTTTGTGCCTCGCAATTCCTAGAATGGATGAAAAAAAGGGAGAGGGGGAACAGGAAGAGAAAGAGATTAGAAATCCACAATGCAACGACAGGTTGATTTGTGGGCAAGGCTGGGCATGTATACATATTTGAGATACTTTTATTTTAAAAATGATATATGTAAGACAATTGTACATTTCATGTATTTCGTATATTCTTATAATTTATGAATAAATAAGTGTTTTATATTTTGTATTTCAGTATTAATAGTGAAAGATTTAAAATATCTTGTATCTCAAATACAAATATTAATAATTAATTTTATGATTTAAATTACGAAATACATGAAACTTTCAATTTTAAATACAAAATACGTAATACTTTCATGTTCTGCTGAAATACAAAATATAAAATACACTTTTATTGCAAAAGCTGTGTTTTAAATAAAAACATACATGCCCAGCTCTGTTTATGGGGACTCTGTAAATATTTTCCTATGCAAGAAAAACATCTGTGTTACGTTATAGTATGAAAAGAGACGTGATGAGGGGAAGAGGAAAAAAGCGAGCGACAATAAAGCAAGAGAAAGAGATGACATGACAGAGTGGGAGAAGACAAGATGAACGAGGACGAAGATACGAACAATGATATTGAAGTCGACGATTCTGGTTGCACTTTTATTGCACCTTCTACATTCAGGATAAAGTAAATTCACACCTACGGAGAGATCCACTTAAATTGATCATCTGAAATATCTCGCTTATTTTTAATGATATAAAAAAATGTTTGAAATAAAAGTGGAACAGTTTCGAGGGGAACGTATTTTGGTTATATTTTTTTTCTAGATGGAGCTTGATTGCCATTTCTTCTATCTTACATCTATCAATGTAAGTTAACATTAATTATGGTTTAACTTACTTTTTATCACTTTTTATTTTTAAGAATAAGAACTATTAATGTAATTTAAATATTTACTGCAACCAGAAATATGCACTAATGATGGTCAAAAATTAGTCGTAACATACGTTTTTCATCTTTATACTAATATTACTAATGTTTTTCAATTTGTGAACTTTACATTTTATAATAACAACGTATTAAATATATTTATTTTAATATAAATTTAACTTATTATGGTTACAATCCCTAGTCTTTCTTCTCCTGTTTTAATTGATAAAGTAAATTAAACCAAGATTAAAAGTTAACATTATGCCTACTTCTATCAATATAGATTAACTTTAATCACCTTGATTTAACTAACTTTCTGGTTCTAAGAATTAGAAAAGAATAAAAAATACATTAAACCAAGATTAAAGTTAATCTATATTAGTTAGAAATAGACTTAAATATTTTATAAATTTAAAATAGACATAAAATGATTCTAAAGTTATGTGAGTATTTTGTACTAAGCAATGAAGTTATTACTTTCTTACTTTGGTGACAATGTTATCATATAACAACACAGGTTTATAACCTCATTTTTAATATGAATCACTAAGCTTTGCTTGATAAAGCGAATTTGTGCAAATTACAGGTAAAAACTCTGTTGAATTTTACTTGTCAGAATGAAAAGGGACGTGCATTAACATAATTATCACTTTATAAATAATAATAGTTTGGTGTAAATGAAAAGCTATTATTATATCTCATTGGAAGAGAAAGATACAGAGATAGAGAGTGCAGACAGTATAAGTAGGCAAACGGATCTATTAGTACATCAGAAATGGAGAAATTATTTCTAGCGCTTTGTGTACGTCGCGCGCGCGCGCGGCACATACAATCACACACATATACGTATACGCAGTATAGAGAGCGCGCGCGCGCAAAAGTAATCGCATTTGACGCGCGCGGCTAGGAAACTCTCGCCGGAATTCCGGATATGGAAGTGCCCCGGACGGGAAAGCGGTGACGGCAACAAAAGACATACGACGAAAGAATAGATTTTCCACACGGAGGAAAGAACCACACAGCCACGACGCACGGTACGAATCGTATTTTGGACGTACCTCTCGCGAAATCCACCACCCTGTCGTCGGCCGTACGCAAACGGATCAACGACACGCAGATCGTCCGGTTAAGGATCGCGAAAACGACGGATCGTCGACGTGCGCCGTAAAGATATATGCCACCCGAGAATTGGCGGCCAGTGCCGCCAACGAGGACAAGGAAGAAAGTTACTAGATTCTGCTGATAGACTGTGTTTCACCAGAGAGAAACCTGCATCTGGTGTCTCATCGTCTCATGGAGCGAAAATCTACAGAGGAACAGCGAGACTAATCACAACTTCCACAACTCTGCAATAATTAATCTGTTTTCTGCGATTGACTGATCTCGCTGTTCCGTTCCGGTACAGATTTCCGCTCCGTGGGACACCGGCCTGAGAGAAAACATGAGAGACTTTTAGGCCTAATTTCACAATTCTAACTTTTAACCGAGGTTCAACCTTGGTCTGTGTTTTATATTCCTGCACTAAACTGAACTAGAACTCTCTTTCTCGCTTTCGACAAATTGCATATACCTATCTCACTTTGAGTTCTAAAAGTGTACACTAGAGTCCTATATATAAAGAGAAGAGTTTCTGATTGGCAATCTGATATGTATTCTGATTGGATATGCTCTCCTAAGCTCTTATACAGTTGTGTAATCAGAGGCTTTATTCTTGAAAAGAAACGTATACGAAAGTCTAGGGAAATACTATAGTATACGTTACGTACACTATAATAGTATTTTCCGAATTTTTCGTATATATTTAAACTTAAAAGGTGATTGTATAAAATTTTACAATCATCATCAAGTTTGGCGAAAACTGTGTTTGAAAACATATTTTAATATTGATTTACCGTTAAAAAAATATGTCTTTGAAAACATTTTGTGTCGATAAAAATATCTTAGTCATATTTTTATACATTTTATCTTTAAAGTAATTATACACGTATAGATCGTTTTTATTATTTAAATACAAATTATAATGTCTTGGGTGCAATACAATAAAAAAATAACAATATTTGTATTAATAACTATTTGTATTATTGTATCAGGAGTTATATAACTTAATTGTTTATCGTACATTGGTGTGTTTATATAGTTGTTTTATTTTCAAGAGATTCCAATTTTCTTTTCCTTTTCATTCTACGTTTTTCCCTCTCCTCTTTAACGATACCTATCTCATCCAGCAATTGACCTCCTCCCAATTCTTCTAAGATTAACTTCTTTTGCTTATTGATCATTTTCTTTTTATAAAAATCAGTCTCGTCCAGTTTAATTTCTGCTTCTCGTTTTGCCACTGATATTTGCGTCAAGATTGTAATGATTTCCTTGTCTAGCATCAATTAAGAAACAATCAGATGCAATTTTGAATTACTTTAAAAAAACATGAAAGCGCAAAAACAGAATATGTACTTACAGTCTATAAGTTATATGTATTCATTTTTCCCCATTTTCCTTATTTATCGTTTGTTCTTTTCTTTTGTAGATATTAGAAAAAAGTAGCCATTCCACATGGCACAAACGGCTATATCTGTCCCTTCTGGGTTGCATTCAAAAACATCACGCGATTGCTCCCGTATATCATTTTATCCTTGTTGTCGAACCATGTTAAACAAGGATAAGACGATACATGGGAGCACTCGGGTGATGTTCCTGAACGCAGCCCTGCGCGGTACCGCTCGAGGGAACGTCAGGATATGTAAAACTAATTTTTCAGGATAATGTAGATTAAAAATATAAAATAATGGAAACATGTAGAAATTAATAACTTCGTAAGAAATATAAAGATTATTGAACTCATTGAAGAGAATTTTTTTTCGTTAATCATTACTGCTTAAACAGGTTATCCATACCCAGACACTATAATGTTAAAGTTAAGCAGTTACAATCGTTAGTTACAAAATAGACTCATGTGTAACTATTCGCGATTAATTAATAATTAATTAGTAAGTTAATCAATGATAGTAATATTCGCTAGAAGAAATTTTGCAATGATAAAACTTATTTTTGTATACAATGTGCGAGTAAAAATTCTGATATTCTTGTACATACATTCCGAGAACATTCACATAGAATAATTAAAGATATTATTAAGAGATGATAAAAAATTAGACACAAGAGATATGTGTTTTTAATATTTTATTGCCAAAATACACGAAAAGTAATGCTTACTCATTCTCTTCTGAACGTAAGCGTGCACTGGCATTTGTTACACGTATCGAAAGTTGTTGAGCACGTTCGACAATGAGTTTCCTTTTCTTACTGCTAACAGCATGTGCAATTTCTGCACAGAATTTACGATTTTGCATCATTAAGACTTCAAGTTCCTGTAAAGAATCAGTTTTTGTCAAGAGATGCATAAATAGAATATACAACTGTGCAGAAGGTTTAGATAACAGATTTGTTTTTATCTATAGTAATAATTCTAATTTGTGTGTGCAAAACGCCTTCAGAACTGATTTTATTGAACCATGTTTAAACAAGTTTTTTAAATTCAAGTGCATTTTAATAACTAATTCATATTAAACAATTTTTTAAAACTTTGATTATTTTTCTTGATATATAGATCATATTATGTATGTTACATTTTAGAATTTTATGTACATTACATCAATATAATTGAATAATTAAATTTCGTTCGTTTTTCGTAATGCAAAGTATAAAGAAATTCGGTCTAAATCGAGCAGTAATAAGATGTTTTCATAAAATAAATTTTGAGTTCACAATGTTAGTACAGCATAAAAATAAAAATATATAAAGAATATAATATAAAAAATAATATAATAATATCGACCTAAATATAAATGGAACTCACAAGCCCTTCTTCAGCGATTCTTGAAAATGTTCCAAAGTCATAGAAATGAATAAATTTACGGTCTAAAAAAAAAGTAGTCAAGAGGTAAAAACAGGATAAGTTATTTAAACATAAATTGTCAATTATTGCCTATTGTCCATTTTTGGTTTGATTACATCAATTAATTATTTATTTGATGATTAAAATTGAATTTCTTACTTATAATAAAATGTGTGAAAACTGGAGCATCTTTACATATTTGTCTTATACTGTTGAGCGCAAGTGTTACAATGATGACAGACGGACTCTTAAAGCATCGGAAACGATGTTTATTTATTTGTTTGACGCTTTTTCAATAGATATTGTCTATATTAGTGCCATTTAATGATTTAAAAGGAAATACAAAACAATATACAAAAATGGACAATAATTGACAATTTACATTTGAATAACTTATCCTGTTTTTACCTCTTAACTACTTTTATATCAAAATTGATGACAATGAATTTTCTCACTTTAGAAATAATTCACATAAAAAGAAGAAAATGAATTCTTTGAAACAATTGTACCATACTATGTCGCTTAGACCACAAGATTATTCATCCCTATGACTTTGTAACGTCTTCAAGAATCGCTGAAAGAAGACTTGTGAGTTCCGAAACGTTTATATTTAGATTGATATCATTATATTATTTTTTACATTATGTTCTTTTTATATATTTTTATTTTTATATTGTTCTAACATTGTGAACTTGAAATTTATTTTATGAGAACATTTTATTACTACTTAATTTAGACCGAATTTCTTTATATTTAGAATTATTCAATTTCAACAGACGTCTTTAAATTTAATGCACATTATTATGTTTGCATCAAAGGTTAAATACAAATTTTGAATTGTAATAATTAAAAATTTAAATGTTTAGAAATATAGGTACATTCATATTTGTATTCCTATATTATAAATAAATAAGATAAATAAGAAAAGACAATTAATGATGAATTATAAAAAAGAAAAGTGATATTAAATTTTGAATGCTCTCCATTTAATAATACAAGTTGACACAAGCATTATTCCAACTTTCTTGACATTCAATGAAACATTTGTGTCAACTTGTGTCACCAAGTAGAAAAGTTCTTCAGTGATTAACTGAGGCATCATTTTATACATAAGATCTCAATTAATTGATTTTTAAGTTTTTTTTTAAGTGATATTTACCTTCACATTATGTACAAGGACCTTTCGAAAACCAGTTGGTAGCATATGACGTGTTTTCTTGCTAGTACCATAACCAATGCTAGGCATTAAGTACTGGCCCTTAAAACGCCTGCGAACTCTATTATCAATACCTTTCGGTTTACGCCAGTTGCGCTGCAAAGTGTATATGACATAAATTATATAACTTTAAAATCATTTGTTAATCCAAAAGATCAATTTCTCTCGAAGAATAAAAGTTTAAGTAAATAAGTAAAATGTTTTAGATACAATTATATAATATAAAGAGTATACAAGAGTCAAAGAACAAAACAATCAAACCACATCTTACACATTGTAATTAATTTAATAATAATAAAAATAATAAGTCGTTAAAGTATACAATGTAATATGTTTCGACTTTGTGATTAAGCTCTCTTCAGATATAAAAAGGAATAAAAAACGCAGATTAGATAATAAACAAGATATAATGGTCAAAAAACGTTGAGTTAAGGTTTGCTTTTGTATCTAAAATGTTTTAAATAGTACTCAATTAAATGCAGAAATTAATGCTATAATATACAAAGTGTAAGCAACATAACCTAATTTTACAAACATGCTCACGCGATTAAAAAGGGCAAAACAAAAGATACCTACCTTGAGTTTATTATATCTATCACTCTGATGCCTAATAAATTTCTTCGTTCTTTTTTTCACGATTTTTGGTCGATAGACTGGTCGGATAGACATTTTGAGTTCTTCAGCGATTCACTGAAACAACAAATGATTAATCCAGTCACTTCAATCATAAATGTTTTCACTTTTATACCTACCTTATACTTAAAAATATTGCACTTTAGCATTTTAAAAAATCATCAATAATTAATCAATTATTACATTATACTTGTGTCATTAATGATTACTACGAAAAATACAGATTCTCCGCGTGATACATACCGCTTGGAAATATGTTGAAAAAGGAGGCAGGGCGGCAGCGGCAGGGCCACAATATATAGTAGCACAACTGAGCGCAACCAAGCAACTCTCTGTCGGCACCTTTGGGCCCGTTGGGGCTACCAAAGAGATTATATAACCTCTTTGGGGGCCACTGTCACCTTCAACTTATTGCACCGTGTGCACCAGAAAGTGCAGGAATATAGAATAGACCGTTCTTCCCTTTCCTTGCTCCGAGGGATACATAACCTCTGTCGTCTTATATTTATATATCAATATACAATGTCCATATTTGCGAGACGATTACTTTCATCCAAATGTAACCTTTTAATTTTTTTCTAAAAGAATATCACCATACTTGTAATACAATAACTCTTAACAGCAAAATTTGTTTCTAGTTTCAACAGAATGGCAATGTTTGCGACCTATCATCCGTAACACTCATCTTCGACAATGTCAACTGTCGACTCAGTCTCAACCGAACACAGAATCTGGTAAATTAGAACACATAATTACATGTATACATAAATTGAGTTTAAATATTTTATTCTTCATATTTATAATTATTTACCATTTCTAAAGAATAAGTATAAAAAATTATTAAGAGCTAAAATAAGATTGGAAAAGTGACCACTTTATTCTCAAAGATGAATAAAAAGGAAAGAATAAAAAAAATAAAACAATTTTAATATTTATTTTTTTTAATATTTCCTTTTTATTCTGATTTGTATTTTTCAAGTTTGATCTATCTGTTGTTTTCTAGGATATAAATTTTAATGTTGTATTTTATAATATTTTTGTCTCACACAGAGCTGTCCAATGTCCCAGAAAGTTCAGAGACCACATTGGATCCGCTGACACATCCAGACTTTTTTCAAGTGCATAAACTATTCACTGTAAAGGATCTATATAATGCAAGGGTGCATTATGGTCACAAGGAGACTTCGCTCAACGAACATATGGAGACGTTTATATTTGGCTCCAGACTAAGACATTTAATAATCGATTTAGATCAAACCGCTGAGTTATTGAGACAAGCGTTAAACTTTACCGCTCACATTGCTTTCCGGGGTGGCATAATTCTGTTTATTTCACGCAATCCCCAGGTCACACATTTAGTGGACAAAACAGCCAAGGAATGTAAGGAGTATTCACAAACAAGGTTTTGGCGACAAGGGCTGTTTCCGAATTCAAGGAATCAGTTCAAGGCGACGACACGGTTACCGGATTTGTGTATTTTTCTCAATACTCTAGACACAGTCCTGACTGAGCACAAAGCCGTGAGATTTGCGGCCAAGATGTGCATACCTAGTGTTGGCATAGTCGACACGAATTGCAATCCGAATCTTATAACGTATCCTGTGCCTGGAAATGACGATTCTCTGTGTGCTATTCAACTTTATTGCTCTTTATTCAAAGAAGCTATTATGAGAGGGAAACAGGCAAGAGAACGGCAGAAATATGCGGAATCGACATAAATCTGATAAGTAATTTGTGGTAAAACAAATGTATACAGATGTACATGTAAAAAATATAAAATATTAAAGTACATTCTTTTCTTTAATCAAAGAGCAGACTTTTGTGGGTAATAACTAATAAGATTGTTTAAAAAGATCAATATCGCTCATTTGTCACATTAGCGACATAATTTAAAAAACGAACTTTCCAGAAAATAAATTTGAACGTTTTAAGTTTTTAACATTTTCTAATTTTAATTTTGAAATGTAATTTTGAAATAATAACTGATTGTATAGAGGAATAATTTATTTTTCTTTATATTTCCGTTTTTACAAGCAACCAAAAAATTACAACTTTTGATTAAATATCCGTAATAAATAAACGACGTCAATTAATGGACATAAATTAATCTTTTTACATTTTTGTTATTCTTTTATTATGTTTAATATATACATCGTATAAAAATTTTTTTAAAGCATTTATGTGAAAAATATATTAACAAAACATGACAAAAATATAGTTGCTATTGACCTTAGAATATTCAGTGATGATCATGATGATTAATCCTTTTTGAAAGCGTTAGCATCTCGTAGTTTTAGCAGGTATTTCATACCTAAATTCTTTACAAACCTTTATAAAAAAGACAGAACAATCAGATTATGATAATATTGAAATTGAACAAAAGATTCGTTTGTTTTTTTTCAACTTTAATAATTATGTTTAGCAGAAAAAGCAGCTTTGCAATTATTGTAAGGTTTTTTAATATGATTAGTTTATTTCGTCCATGAGGAACTAAGAGAAGACAAGAATCAATCATATTAAAGAATGTTACAATAGTTGGAAAATTGCTTTTTCTGGATGTAGCTATTATTACTCATGTAAAGCCTATTTTAGACAATCTGCAGCTTTTAATATAATTCAATTTTATTGAAATGTGTACTCTGTAGATATGTATATATGTATATTCTAATTCTTATAAATATTTTTCATAAATTGATAAACATTTCTATCTTGAAAGATCCTATCGTAATGGATTGTTAGTTACAGATTATCTAAGATGGACCTAAGAACGTAGAAAAAAATTAAACGAACTTTTTCTATTTATAATATATTGCAGAATAAATTTAATCTCGGTTTAATATATTCTTTAATGTTTTCTAATAACTTAGAATTAGAAAAAGATAAAAAGTAAATTAAATCGAGATTAAAATTAATCTACATTGGTAGAAATTAGCATTAATATATATGATAGAACTACGGTATGTAAACATATACCATTTTGCAAAATTCGGAAAACAATAAGACAGGTATACGATTCGTAACGAGGACGCCGTAGCAATCCACACTTCGTCTAGTTCATTTGCAATCGCGACTCCCATCAAAGTTGCACAACGTTCCGCGCTGACTTTGCTTCTAGATACGTCCGTTGTTACACCGTAAGTCTAAAAAATCATAAAGTGCTGTCAGCAATTGGCAATACATATATATTACTGTAATGTGATATATTTGTTTGTTAATTGTTTAGTATTATGTACAGATATACAGTCTGGTAATAAAATATCACTTCTCATAGCAAGTAGAGCGGGTTAAATTGAAAAAAATAAGTTTCTTATCGTTTTGCAAATGGTTCAATCATTAATAATAAATAAATTAATAAAAATTTCTAAACGAGTTTATATACATATGTATCATTATAACAATTAAGATGTTTTAGAAAAATATAAAGTAAATAAAGTTGTATTACACAATTTATATAGCTTTTCATCTCACTATTATACTGTTACATAATATTTTCACATTTCATATGTCATAAATTTTCTATAAACGGCATCTGGATATATAATACACAGAAACATTTTTGTGGCACCTACCTCGCCAGATTTCTCTGTGAAACTCTTGGCTAGGAACTCGGTCTGCACTGGACCTGGACAAACCATTGTCACGCTAATGTGCTTATCAGGATATTCTAAGAACAACGGCCTGAAATAGCCCTATAAAAGTATGTAATATAGTGATCACTGATATGTGCGATAGTATAGAATTTTACAAAGTTGCAACTAATTTTATTCAATAAAAGAAAATGATGTCTTGAAACTATTTACATGTAAGGCATGTTTAGTGCCGCAATAGGTCGCTGACATCGGTACTGGTAAAATTCCTGCTAAACTCGAGGTAGTGACGATTTGACCTTCGCCTACTTTTAGAAAGTATTTAATTACTAATCTGCTCAAAGACATGATGGAGAATACATTTAAGTTGAACATTTCTTTATCAACCGCTATCTCGATGTTTTCCCATTTTGCTCTTTGACTACGGCCGGCATTATTAACGAGTATGTCTAACTGAAACATAGAAACACATCTTTAGTATGAAATTTTTTTTCAAAATATTTTATGATTTTTCAAAATTTTTCAGAATTTTTTCAGAATTTTAGTACAAATTGGAACACTTTTCAAGAGTATTTTAATTTCTAAAATTGTCTTGAGTTTTTTGGTGGAAAATATTTTCTAAAATTTTGCTGAAAGTGATAGCTCAGTGAAATTTCTGAGAATTTATTGAAATTTCGCTGAAAGTAGATTTTCTGTAAAAATCGTCAAAATTGAGAAAGTGTAGGATTTTAATTGAAAGCTTAATTACTTTTATTGACACAAAAATATAGTATGTTAAAATTGATAATAATTAACTAAATTGATAAATTTACCTTGCCGAATTTATTGATCACATGTTCGAATGCTTTTTCGTGTAAGTCCAAATCAAGCATATCCATGGAATAAGCTTCCACATCATTGTCGGTCAAGTTTCTGTTCTCTGCAAAGGCACTTATGATATTTATGAAAAATTGATAACAATATTTTATAATCTTTAGTCCGGCTTAAAATTATTACATTAGTAAATTAACAACATTAACGTAATTCTACTTTGGACTGTTGAAGAGATCATATCACTTAATTAAAATAATCGACGAAGATCATTAATATATGTAGTAGAGGAGAAATCTTTTATAAAAGTTTGTAAGAGGTCAACTGTACCTTCCAAACACTTCTTCTTTACTCGTTCTAATTCAGCTACTCTCCGAGCAGACAAGATCAATTTGCAGTCTGCTTTGGCTAACACATAAGCCAATTGTTCTCCAATACCAGCAGATGCACCCGTTATCCATACTGTCTTGCCTTTCAACGAGGCTATGATAACAAAAATTTGTTTGTTTATTCATTCTTTGAATGATTTATAATTTGTGACAGATTTCAAGAGAATTATTTGTAATAAAAAATAGATAAATTAAATTATACATTAAAATAATATAAATTATAATAATTTTTATTATATATTATTAATATTTGTTATATATTTCTAATTAGAATCAGATTAAATAATGACATGAAAATTCTTCACTCTAGTAATGCACAAAAATTTATTAGGAAGCAAATAAGATCACTCAATTATTAGATTCAATTATTAGAGATAATATTATTGGATGTTTTATGTTTATTTAATCATTAACAAATTTATATGTAAATTGTTATTTACTGATCTGAGGAAAATCTTCATTGGCAAACAAATAAACTTAACGTATGTTTATGCAATTGTTTTACTTACGATTGACAAAAAGTTGGCTGAAGAAATTTTTTTATTTTTTAGGATTAGGCAAAAGTACTTACACACGGGTTTGCCGTATTTCTCCTTAAAAGCAAGTAATATATCACAATCCAAGAAGAAGGGAAAAATGAGATAGATGGAATAATAGACTACGAACAAGAGTCCGATAATTACGAATAAATCCATATTTAATTATACTTATTTACGATGACATGAAATTACTTCTGTAAACAAAAAGTTCTCAGTATTATAAAACTTATAAATATTTATACATATATATATATATATATGTGTTTATGCTCTTGAATATATCTACATAATTTTATTTTCTTATGCAGTTACGTTTTACGCGCGGTTTCATGTATTTTTACGCGTTGGAGAGAAAAAATTAGTATCGAATATGGGCATAAGCATAGAGCTATTATTGGATTTACTAGATTTGAAGGCCTTGGCAATGAGAAACTGGTATTACAACTACTCACAACATGGTCATCAATTACATCACAAGTACATATTGAATCTCCGTGACATATTTAATTATAAATAATGTGATAATTAAGCTAATAGTAAGGCGTTTTGCTGGTTAATAACTGCAGGTTGGAAAATTTCCTTTTCGGAAAAAGATAAAGAGTGAACTTAACTCCACCTGCAGTCGAAAACACGAAAGCAATGAATTTAATTTGAAGGTTGATTTTTTTTTTTTTTTTTTTGGAAAAAAACTGCCCCTCCAGATCTATTATTATTGTTGTTTTTTAAAAAAGATACAAATTGTATGAAGAAGAAATGTTATAATTCTTCCACTTATTGTTAATTAAATTTTTCTCAAAATATGCTGCGCTTTGTTAGTTACGGGAAATCAATAAAACTGGTATTATATATTCTGTGTATTAAAGTTCGGTAGTGTTATGTGATGGGTTTTATACAATGGCACGTGCAGTGAACGTGATAATATATCTATTTATTAACCTTTCATTTTTGACATCTCAAATACGTGACCTATTTTTGATTCCTCCTTTTTGATATTTTTTGCGATCATTTGGTAAAAAAAATTATTTCGAGAAAGATTATCAAGATATATTAACGTGCTTGTTAATATATCTCTTCCTTGCTTTCAGATTCAAGAGCCTTTTTAATCAAAGACTTTTTAAATCAAAAGCAGAACTCAAGTACACAAATATATTATTATATTTTTTTTATTTCTAAACAAAGATTTTATTGAAGAAATGTTTTGCGCTCTTTCTTTTAATTGTCTTCCGACAGCATTTGGATAAATTGTTCAACACACATAACGCTCATCTTTTGAACTTCACTATATTTAGGACGAAACGAATCATTATTCACATATATATAGTCAGTCCAGAAAATGTTTGTATAGGAAAAATCTTTATAAAAAAATGTTATTTTTGTAGAAAAAATATAAATATTTATTTTAATATAATATTTATTTTAATTAATTTTGAAGTAATATCGATTAACAATTATTACTTACATTCTGTCTTAAACGTATAAACAAAACACTTTGAAAATAATCGTGTTAATTTTTCTCGATTATACTTTATGTGCGTCTAATGCCTGTTTCCACCAATGCAGATTAACTTTAATCTCGGTTTAACTTATTGTTCATTTTTTTCTAATTTTTAGAATTAGAAAAAGGTGAAAAGCAAATTGAACCGAGATTAAAAGTTAATCTGCATTAGTGGAAATGGGCATAAGTAATACAAGTTTTATTTTTTCTTATTATTAAGATAATATTTAATTATTATTACCTATACATTACCTGTCATATTTGTTTTTAATTTATTCATTAATTATTATACATACATTAAATATTATTAAGATCATTTATTACTACACATCTTTTTAGATAAACTAAATACCGATGAGAACATGCCGTAACGGTCAAACTTCGTGGATGCTTCTGAAAATTTTTTTTCAGACTTACGACGCAAACTCTGATAAAGTACCTCACTATTATCACGAGCTAAATTGACTAACAATCTAATAATTTTGATGCTCATAGCATCTTGGATCTTAATAATATTGAATGATATATTAAAATCTCTGAATAACATATTAAAAATCTGTAAATATTTAATTTATATTGCAAAAAATATTACCTCGGCCGGGAGTCAAACCAATCAAACCCGAATCTCTGGCATTCCGTTACCTCGGTAGTCTAAAGGCTTAAGACACTCGTACAGTAGTTCATTAGAATTTGCGTTGTAAGTCTGAAAAATAATTTCGGCGCGCATTTAAAAAATCTATATTTATGAATCTACATACATAAGTATATAAATTCACACGAAATTATAAATAGGCCGGTATTCATAGTCAGTTCTTATATTCAAGACCGTCTTTTAAGTTCAGTCTTGAGGAGTTACGAACCAATCAGAGGGCCGCTTTAGCATCTTAAGAAATTACTTAAGACAGTCTTGAAATAAGAACCGACTATGAATAGAATCCTTAGAAGCATCCAAAATCCAGCTTAACCGTTGCGGCATGTTCTCATCGATATTTTTGAACTTTTACGGTCCAATAAAATTTGATATCTTTAGATAAAATAATTTTGAGAAACATACAACCTATTTTATTCTTTGTTAATAAATAAATGTTCATTTGCTAAAAAAAATAAGACTTTTTTTTAATAATCTACTTTGTACGATTACTTTTTGTATTCACTATACGTTTCTAACTCTTGCTGTGTTTTCGAACAATAATGTTTCGCTATATGATTACAATAAAAGTGCAATCCTGTACACATTGCAAGGACTGTTAATAATTCATTTGCAATTATAATTAACGCAATGGAAAAATTAGATATGAAAGTGCGTATCATCAAGCTAACCCTCTTCAACACGGAGAGAAAAAGAGAGAAGACCAACTATCTAGAAGCACACGCACATATGCAGATAAATCACATACAGATAAATTGCATCATACGAAGAAATTATAAATCGACATCATATCGTTGCATGAATTTTTTCGAATGTTAGTCGACATTTTAGTGACATTTCGTCGTAATAAAGATGGAAATTCAATGTATAAGAAAAGAAGAGAATCAGTCGTTTTCAATCATGTTGCACTCGGAAGAATAAGAATAAAAAACAGTTGAATTGAAACAATAACGAACTGAAGAAATCGCCATTCTCACTATGAAATCGCACAATGCTAAACACAGAATGCCGCCGGTTTGCGCCGGTTTGCATTATCGCCACGTGTTACATACCTCGCTCTTTGACTCCGCCCGTAGAACTCTAGATCGCCTGATCGCGTCTGGACTCTGGCTGTGGAACTCTGGAAAGGGACCCTTTTAGGAGAGGGGGATCGATATACAGAAACGTGAGGAGTGGATGATGCTCAAAGAACGTGCCGAGAATAACCGAGCTCTCTCTCTCTCTCTCTCTCTCTCTCTCTCTCTCTCTAGTTCAAAATATTTAAATATGATATATAACCGAGTCCATAGTACATTAAAGAAAAGAATAATTTAAAGTTTATTAAACTTTGCATTATACAACTTTAAATCTGACTCGAATAATCTTTAATTTACTCTTGTATGTACTAAATTATATATATAATATTGTGATATATAAGCAGGGAATGGAAACTTACTTTTTAAAAATAACTAGTTACAGTTACTCGTTACCGAGTAAAAAATGTAACTAGTTACAGTTACAGTTATCGCTTTTTAAAAGTAACTCGTTACAGTTACCGTTACTTGAAAAATAACTTTTCGTTACTTTTCCGTTACTTTTTTAAAATCAATTTAAAAATGTATTTTTGCATTTTTTTTTTTATATGTAATACTGACAAATATATAGTTTTTTTAAAAAAAAAAAAAACAATGTAGAATGGCTCAAATAATAAATTAAATAATAGTAAAATGAGAAGGGTTACGAGCCAAAAATGAAACAGTTTATTTCCGATAAGAACGACGATGACAATGTAATTAAATGTATAAATATATATTAGAACAATACATAGATAAAACAAGATAAAAACAAACGACGTTTCGACACTTATTGTCATCGTCTTTTAAACTGTTTCGCTTTTGGGTTCATAGCCCTTCTCATTTTACTATTATTTAATTTATTTTTTAATTTTTTTTAAACACAATTTTGTAATTCTAAAACCTGTAAAATATGCAGCAAATTGAAATATTTGTATGTCCTATGTATTACATAGAAGATAGAAGTGTAAAATAATTACTGAATCATAACGGCCGAATGTCTAAGGGCTTTCAAGTCTTATTGATAAGCGCTATAAATAGCATGTATCCAATCGAACCGTATTCAATCGTGTGCAAAGTAACGACAAAAGTAACTGTAAATTTCGTTACCGTTACCCAAAAAATGTAACTCGTTACCGTTACAGTTACCAAAAAAAGAAAGTAACGCAGTTACCAGTAAAGTTACCAAAAAAGTAACTTGTAACTGTAATTTCGTTACAAGTAACGAGTTACTTCCATTCCCTGTATATAAGTATAAATTTTTTGTATGTAGTAGAAAGAAGTAAGGGATAATTTGTTTCTCTGCAGATATATTTAATTTATTATTATCTTTATGATATAATTTCTTATCAATTTACATATCATTTTTATTACATATGTGTATGTACACATAAAGATGAAACTTAATTCACCTGAGAATAAAAATACAAACATCTTTAAACTTTAAAATTTTGTATTGTAATAAATCACGGCGATGCATATCTTTGGATGATTACGTTGTGAAAAAGTGATATCATTTTCGAGATTTTGCTTCGCAGCTCGTATTTTTTGCGCTTTCTTTTCTTGGGTTATTAAAATAATTATGTAGCTCAAACTAATTTAGAATTTCAAAAAATTTTTGCTGCACTACTAATCATACTTGAGATTTCTACGTAAATATTTTAATGGCCTAACAAATTTTTTTTCAAATCTAAATAAAAAAATATTTTAATATTTCAACTCATTCTTTCCATGTACAAATCTTGATAGAAATAATACATATTTATACTTTGCACTTTTGCAATGAGTATTTATGGTATTATGCGATATTAAAAACAATGATAATTATATGTTATTTGATAATTATGCAATCCGATTGTTATCTGCATAAAGTCACGTACGGTTACGTAATAAATTGTAACGTGAGGTTACGTAAATTGTGTTTCTTAAAAAGTATATCAGTTTTGTAAAATCCACACTGAAAAATAAAATTAGCTGCATATGATATAGCATTTTTAATTGGTTGCGACAGCCAATTTTTGATTGCAGCAGCCAATTTTTAATTGTAGCAGTCATGCGGATGGCTAACACGATCAACAATTGACCGCTGCAACAAGAAATTGGATACATTAAATTACACATAGTATTAAATTAAAAATGCTATGCCATATTTTACCATCTGCAGCAGCCAATCTTTTCTTTCAATGCACAGTTTGTGCTCACTTTTCTCTGTACATATATAACGAAACAAACAGAAGCAGGCAATAATTTAAAAGGTTGCAAATTATTTATAATTTATAGTATCTATCTTCTGGAAGCTCTTCTTATTCGATGAAAGTACAAATACTCCTGAAACATAAAAATACAATTGTACAATTAAATTATGTTTAATTATAAATTTATGTTACATATACATATACATGTACGTAAATATGCGATTTTCGATTTGAGTTCGCTCAATTGAAAAAATTAAGAATTAATTGTCGGAATAAAAGTTAAAAGTGATCGCTCACTATTAAGAACGACGCGCCGAGGAGCAGACTTTTCAATCTCACGTCTGTATCTATTGGAAATGTAAGAAGCAGGATATAATCGACTGCCAAGTGATCCCATTGATGTATCAGTGATGCGACTTGGTGAGATCCGTCCAATGATACGATCTAAAAAGGAAGAGGTAGGTAAAGTAGTGTAATTAAAATTAATAAGAAAAAGTACACTATATTAAATTTTAATATATTACACATATAATAATTTTGTTTATTATGTGTATAAATATTAACGTAATGTTTCTAATAAATACATTAAGAGAAAAGGTTGCAATTTTATGATTATTATAATGCATTTGAAACAATTATAATTTGCACGATTAAAATAACTTTAGATTAATTAATACATGTAGTGGAACTAAAAAAATATTCAAAGTCAAATTATGGTAACTACAACTATTTATCTCTCAGTATGGCATTAATAATTTAATAGCTTGTAATAAAAATAATCATTTCTCATAGTAATATCAATTAACAATAGGCATAAAACAAATAAGAATAAATAAAAAATATTGTCAAATAAGAAATAACAACAGTTTTGTGCAACTCGTTTTCGGTCTTACGTTTTACATTAGTTGCGATAAGTCTGGTCGATCATTCGATATTTTTAACGTTAGCGTATTCTATGTGGATGATCCTATATTGATTCACCTGGAATTGCGCTTCCTTGAACATACAACAGTCGCAAGTGAAGGGTCCATAAATGTTGCAGAGAGGCTCTTGGATCGCGTTATACACAGTGAAGCTTGGCCCTATCGGGCTGAAGTTCTTCTCCACGCTGCCGATGAGATTCGCGCTTTCAACCGTAATTCTCTGCAGGAATGCGAAAAATGAACGAATCAAGTGAGAAAATGGAAATCATTACGTTCGTCACGTTTGTCGCTTTGTTTTAAGATCTGATAGGTACGTCGAAAATTAAACCTACTGTTCTCCGTTCATATCTCACATAGAATTTATTGTAATGCGGGATTTTCTTATATATAGATATTCTTTTGTAAAGTTTTGAAATCGCTGAAGAAGCTTCGAGGCAATTAAATAGTTTTACTTTGCTTCTAGTAAATTATTATTAAATTGATATAATTAGACTTTTTTTATCGCTGCCAAAAAATCCTTACTTTTTATTTTAAATATTATATATCTAATACAAAGTCGTAAAAAATTATAGTTTATAATTTACAGAAATTAAAGAAAATTGTTCTGTTTTAATAAAAAAAAATGGGTTACTCGAGCAGAACGGCAGGATTAATAATTTAATTGAGCACATTAAGCTCAATTTATTGCGACGATATATCTTCCTTTGTGAAACGCCACACAAGGAATACACCAGCTTAAGAGACAGTCAAAATAACTTTATTTTGATGTCATGAAAGTCAAAATGATGAATTTTTGCCAACAAAATTTGACTGTTTGTTAACATTAAAAATCAAAATTAAGTCATTTTGATTTTTTGTTAGCTTTTGTGTATTCTCTGGGCAACTGACTGCTAGATTACTAACGAATCCTCAACAGTTGCATTATTTTTCCTTTTGAGGTGTCAAAACATATATTTTTTCAACTCCGAAACAATTATTAAGACAAGTGTTTTGCCCAAGGAACACACCAAATCAAGAAAAAATCAAAATTATGTACTTTAATGTAAAAATGATAATTTTTAGTTACACGATTTGACTGTTTATTGATTTTCAGCATCAAAATATAGTCAATGATTTTGACGTTATCTTGATTTTTTGTTGATTTTGTATTCCTTGGATGCCTGCACGTCTAAATCGTACGCATAATATGTATGTGTGTATATATATATATGTATAATAAATAAGCTCGAGAAGGAGGATTCGAAAGTTTGCGATATGCTGATAATTAAGATGCAAATAAACTTCCTATAATTAAATCTGGTATAATAGCAAGAATGCGTAGGACGCTTTCGTCGACTTACCTGTCGAGAGCAAGGCACGTGCAACAAGCTGGGATCTTTCCGGATGATGAAAGCGGTTTCGCCACACTGATCCAAGACGTTCAACACGAATCCTTTGTACCAGCCGCATAATCGTGATTCCGTTTCCATCTTAGATTCCATGGCAAGAAACAATGTTTCCGCGCGTGGCACTTTCACCCTGTACTGAATACCCTTGTCCAGTCTGCCGAGTACTGCCAAATATTTCGCGCAAAAATTGCATACATCTCTATTATATCTTTTATTCGTATATAATGTAATTGTATTATTTATTAAGTTATCATATAATATCGATAAAGCAGAATTATATATATATATATACATAAAAAGTTATATTTTTTAATAATTCGCATAATAATTATAAATAAAACTTAACTCAATCACACACAATATAAAAAAATCTTTTTTTAAATATTTATTTAATGTAAAAATATTAAATAAATATTTTAAAAAGATTTTCTCTAATAGAGATATGTATGTTGATTAGAAACATTATTAAAAAAGAAATTATTTAGTTATTTAATTCATATTAATTATATAAATTTAACTATTAATAATTATTTGTTAACATTAAATAATATAAATATTTAAACATTATTAAATACATATGCATATTCTTTTTATGATAAGAAATTTACATATATATTTGGCATTATTGATTTTATTCAATTATATATTATAGCTATTTAAATTTATTATAAATATTTTCTTGTTTCACTCTATTTTCTTAGAGCAAAAAGCTGGCGCATGGTGCGCTAAATACGTACGAGTACTCAAATCAATAACCTGCTGAATTTCCAATTGCTCAACACCGTCCAGGAACTGCGTACCGGTGATTGCATTCAAATGCGATCTAGGTGTCGAAACCCAATCGAGAGTGTTGATAGGAATTGGCCTACGGAATCGACTCTCGCCTTCTATAAATGTGATGCGAAAATTAGCTAGAACAAAAGCGGCTGCGAATCTTATTGAATACGTAAGTACTTGTTGTCAAACAATTTTTTATCACGTTTATGCGCAATCAGTTAAAGAATTATATTTATAATTATGTATAAAAAAATATATTTGTGTAATTATAGACTATTATAATTTCTTTTCATTATTTTTTCGAGCAAGTGTTTAAAAATTTTTTTTCATAAAAATAAAAAAAAATTATATGCATCATATATGCTCGGAAACTGTTGGAGAATATAATCAAAAACATCATATATGCTCGGAAACTGTTGGAGAATATAATCAAAATAATGATTTTACATTGAATATTTTAATAAACTAAAAATTTTTTTCCTTAAAAATTAAATTAAGGAGAATTATTTTTGCCTTGACGCTGCAATTATATTATATAAAAGAAAAATTAACAAAATATTTACTTAACACATCGCGCAATTTTTTTTAGAACTATTTGCTTTTTAATTCTCATTATTTAATTTTCTGTTTTTAAATATTTATTTACGCAACACGACAAATAGGAAAAAGAAATTACATTTTATGGCGGCCGTTAATGACATCATTTCTAATAAGGAAACAACAAAGTCAACGAAAGATCAAAACGACTTTATTTTATTTTTAAGCAATGTTTTTAACATTGCTAAGTAGTCAAATTTTATAACAAAAAAGTCAGCATTTTTACTTTCATGACGTCAAAAGAAAGTAATTTTTTTTACTTAATTTAAGGGAAATAGTCTATTCACCTCCCGGCTGGATCGTAATGATGGTGGAATTCGTGTGAATAATTGGCAAGTTTTCTTGCAGCTCCATCGTCTGCGTCGCCGTGCTCGTTGCTGGGGAGTCCCAAAAAAAGATTAAAAGAGAATGATGAGCCATTTACGATGGATTCTGAAAAAAATTGCGGAAAAAAGAAATGTCCTCCGCGCGATAAAACGTGTGATATCTTTGTCTGATACCAGTCGCTTGCGATTGTTGCTCGCCGTTGTTTGCTGACGTGTCGTTGAGCTGCTGTGCGTAACTCCGTTCCATCGTCGAGTCCACTTCCGTGTACCGCATCATCGTAGAGTGATCTTGTTTACCGTCTCCGACGAACAGAGAAGAGGGATGATTACGCGGACAGACAGTCGAGATAGAGAGAGCGAGAGAGAGAGAAAGATCTGTTTCTTCACCTGTCACTTCTTTCACCCTTATAGAAACCCATTTATTACTATGGCCAATTGAATACTGGAAGATATCCAACGAACACACAAAAGTCAATAAAAAACTAAAATGACTTTATTTTAATATGTCCTTAATGTCAGTAAATAGTCAAATTTTGTAACTGAAAATCATTATTTTGACGTCAATAAAATCATTTTGGCTTTTTCTTGACTTGGTATGTTCCTTAATTAGTGATTAATTTTTATTTTGAGTATTGAAAGCACTATTAATTCCTAAATGGAACATAAAACCGTAATAAAATTAAGTTGAAATCATTCTAGAAAAAATTTATAACATAATGATGTATGTGATACACTACTGATAATGATTTTCTGATGAATTCTTGACGTATTAATGACTTTTATAATTTTTTAAAATAATAGTTACAAAAAAATCACATAAAAATCATCGTTATGTCAAAAATTTACAAATTCATAATAAAGTATTTTATGACATCATTATGACTTTTTTAAAATAACTTCAACTTGATGTTATATTAATGTTATCTCGATTTTATTGTTCTACTTGAGTCAATGCTTTCAAGTAATGAATTTTGCATTGAATGACACTGCTTTCAATTTTCAATACTCAAAATAAGTACTTAATCATTACCTTTTAGTATCAAATGTTTTTAAAAGTAACGTTTGCTCAGCAAAACAAGGCAATCCGTTCCGAGGGTCGCTAACCACCGAGGGAAGACTATCCGATCATTCGTACTTGAATTTCTATCTGGCTATCTTCTCTCGTTATCGCCCGACAATTTCTTTATCATTTATCTTGCGGATAAGCGATATATCGCTGTGTAGTTATCGATAATATTCGTAACAAAAGCGCTGATCTAAACGCAAAAATTTCGTCAATAACGAACGCTTACAAAATATTCGAGATTTCTTCCATCTTTTCTCAGCTCCCAAGGAACATACAAAAGTCAACAAAAAATGACTTTATTTTGATTTTTAACGTAAAGAAATAATCAAAATTTGCATTAAAAAATAATCATGTTGATTTTTATGACATCAAAATAAAATTATTTTTATTTTTTCTTGACTTGAGATGTATTTGTTTTTTGAGAATCTGCACTGTATTTTTCGATTCGTGTTCGATCGAATTGAAATAATATTTTGTTATTTTAAACTTCTATGAGTGCCAAAATATAAATCAATCCATTTTTAGGGTTAATTTTAAAATAACGAAATAAAAATAAACACGAAAATATTAAGAGAGATCATTACAACCACAAGGATCATAACACTTTCTTCTAAATTAAATTTGAATAAAAAATACATTTTTATGAAAATTTTTAAACTGCATTATTTTAATTAAATTAATGACGTATTGAATAAAACAGTGACCTATTGTAGAAATGATTAAAAATAACTCAATTGAGTATAATTTGACACATTTATTACATACATTTACATTATTTTTCATTTTTTGCTCTTAGCGGATATAACATATATAACTATACGTAGAAATAATTACCTCAATATCTTCTTTAACTCGTGAAGGAGTATAATTTTAATCGAGTAACGCACAGCTGTGAAGAAACTACACAATATCTGATTTGAAAATAGTGTAATGCATTTATGCATACGTGTATACAATAAATAGTAAAATAATCTTTGTCTTATTTGCGTGAATAAAGAGTTTCTTAAATGCGAATAAAGAGTTCCTTCGATGTGATTGCTGTCGAAGAATTATGCAAGGGGAGACAGCGCATTCCGATGATCAAGCAATTCCGCGACGATGATCAATACTTCTTGAATGAAATTCCGAAAACGCCTTTCTTCGCTCTCCAGACTTTTCCCGGATTAATTAACGTTAAATTAATTAATGAGTCTGCACACTCTCTTTCTGTCTACCACGATTAATTTTGTAAAACGAATCATACGTCCCATTTGCGTCATGTATATCCCATTTGCGTTGTATTTTTATTCCCGGACTTCACGCGATATAACATTTTATTGTTAAAGAAAAGTTTCTGGTGTTTATTACACTGGCAGTGTTCTGCTTAGATAATTAAAAATTATCTAGATATAGATAAGATAAATCACACAAAAATATATCTTAGATAAGATAAAGATGATTAATTTTACATTAATCTAGATAAAAGATAAAATTAAAAAAATATTGTATTAGATAATTTTTAAAATAATTTTATTTTTAAGTAACTATTACGTAATAAAACAATTTAGAATATAAAAAAAAGGGATTTTATATTTTTATAAATTTTTATTTTTTTAGAGTTTCATATTATTCTTGAAAACTATTATAAAATTATAATGGACAACCGTGTTTTGGATATATATAAAGCTATAAATCCAATTATTATATTATTAGTAACATTTTAACAATAATAATATAAAAAACAGAGCTCCTTTATAATTATTTTATCATGTAATTCTAGTCAACACAAACATCAAATATCTTTTTCTTAGCAATGGTACGCATTCGGTTGATATGTTTTTATGAGAGTATATAGGTATTAAAAACGTGTGAAGTACAACCGCCATGCTGTGGATGTATATGGATGACGAGGCTCGTATACTACGCATTTGAGAAAAACACGATGTAACAAAGCATGGAAGACAAAGTCTCGACTTTCATTAGTCCACGAGACGAATGGCTTCGCGTAACCAGGAACCGGGTTCTGCTTATAAGGATTAAAGCGATGTTATGTCGCATGTTACAATTTCTCCCCGGCAGTTTTTCTCGCTCGAGAGAGCCCGAGATGATCCGGACTCAAAACACTCGCGGCGTTCTGCGCTAATTAATCCCCTCGGTATATATTTATTTACACATTCATAATTGCAACTACCGATTAATTTCCTTCATTTCTAATTAAAATTTTGATCATCTGCGTGATCTCAATGTATCTCAAATTATTAATTAGATGATTTTAATTCTAATTCAATTGAGAGAAATAATTATATTTTCGGTCAAAGATCTTGTTGTTTCTCAAATAAAATACAAAAGTCGTAATAATATACAAAGAAAAATTTATATATATAGTTGAAAATAAATAAATCAGAAAATTCTGATCATGTCAATCAGAATTCTGATTATTTCAACTAGAATTATAATACATTCAATCAGAAAGTTCAGATTTCTTCATTTTCAATCAGAATTTCAATTAATCTAATCAGATTCATTCGCCAGGATATTTTAATCATGTTAATCAGAATTCTTATTATCCTAATTAGAATTATAACAGATTCAGCCAAAAAATTCTGATTTGTTCATTTTCAACAAAAATCTCAATTAATCCAACTAGACTTTTTCCAGTGTCCATTATAAGGACATCATCATGATCTTATTTAGTTATTTGTCACTTATATAATAAGTTCATTGTTAAGTATGAAATAATGTCATGATGACCTCTCATGATATCATGACTTAATTATGACTTAATTATGACTTTGTTCTTGGTTAATCTGAAACAATAAAAAATTTGCTCCGTTTTATAAAGATTCTAGTTATTACTGGAAAAGTTAAAATTCGTATTACCAGCTATTCAAAAAGTAGCTTGTTTAAAATATTAGTAAATAAAATTATTAATCAAATTTGCTAAATAAGAAACATGAAAGGTCTTATGCGTCATCTACAGTACGTGGAGTAAGCTTGGTGTAAGAAGTAAGAGTAACAAATTGACCAATTACAGTCGATTATTCTTCTCACATTCGACTGTGACTGGTCAATTTCTTACTGTTCTTACATTAAGTTTACTCTGCATATTACAGACGATGCATTATAGTAAAAAAAATCATTTAAAAAACATTATAATTTTATTTTTAATACTAAGATTTGTGTAAGACCGTCGATGTTTAAAACAAAGTAAATATGATAATGAAATCGGAAATTTATTTTTAATGCTTCTTATTTAGCAAATTTGATTTATTCATAAAACTGTTTTCATCGCATAAAAATATTAAGAACAGCAAAATACTTTTTGTACAAAGGCGCCGTATACGTTAATGGCAGCCCTGAAAGGCGGGGTTCGCGCCCCGAAGGGTCGGAAAACGTTCCTCTTCACCCATTTCGAGAAAACACGCGATGAGGAGAAACATTGAATTTTCCAATCTGATCTGAATTTTTCGAAATAGAACAAAAAATCATCAAAATAGTTTCAAAATAAAAATGCCCCAAAATGCTGATTAAAAATGACTTTGATCAGTCACGATTCGTTTTGATACTATTTTGCCGCTTATAATGTAACCTGTCGTTCTGCTTGGATTAATTCTCTCACGGATGGGATTTCCGCATCCCATCGGTCCTTTTACTTGTTGCTGCTACTGATGATGCTGTTGCTGTTGCCGCCGCCGCCACCGGCAGCGATGAATTCCATGCGCGTTTCTATCGATCCACCCTTCGTCGGCCTATATAAAAGCCGTCGCCATTGACGGTTCTCCAGGTCGTGAAAGAACAGGTCGAGATTTCCATGCACGCTCGGGGTATCGTCATCGACAACGTTACGACGTAGAAAAGAAGAAAAAGGAGAAAAAGGGAAGAGCTGCTCATTAGCCTGTTTATCCTAAGGGGTGTCACGCGGATGAGAGATTGAATTAATCAGGTACATTGCGCTTCATTACGTTCATTATTATCCATCAGTTCGTCAAATTCCGTTAATTAAGTTCAGTTAGTTTACTTTCCTATGTCGCGTTAATTAAAATTCTACTGTCCTCGTAGTCAATTTGGTCTCTGCTTTGATTCTTCGATTTGTTCCTTGTTCATTTGCGACGTACCTCAAGTAGAACACAGAAGTAATAGTATTATAAAGACATTGTCTGTCATTTATAAAAATTTATTTTTAAGTATCAAATAATATCATCAAATCATGATGATGTCCTATGATATCATTATAATTTTATAATGATTCTATCCCCCAAGAAATACACAAAAGTCAACAAAAAATCAAAATGACTTCATTTCAATTCTTAATGATAATAAACAGTCAAATTTGGTAATAAAAAAATCATCAGTTTAACATTAAAATAAAGTCATTTTGACTTTCTCTCGACTTGTATTCGTGGGTGTCCCAAGAACAACAAAGTCATTGTAACATTAAAATGATGTCAAAATGACTCTAAAACGATCATTAAAAGTCGTTTTTCAATTGTTCACGATTCACTTCAATGTCATTTTAATGAACTTGTTCTACTTGGAGTTTCATCTGGAATTCCAAGTAAAACAACATATGTCACTATAACAACAAAATGATGTTAATATAAATCATCGAATAAAAAAAGTGATTTTTAATAATCATTTTAGAGCCATTTTGACGCCATATTGATGTCATAATGACTTTTTATTTAGGACGTTTTGCGAAATTCTACCGAGTTTTTAATTATAATGATAATGTAAATTACTAAATTCTTTAATTGTAAAAATCTCACCTACCACACGTAGTTACGTGTGAAATCGTCCTGTTGCAATCAGGCGGATTTGTCGTGATCCACTCCGATCCCGGAACATTCGTTTGCGAGAATTTACAAAATAAGGCATTAACAGTCGAAGTCGTTGTTTGTCGATGGCAAAACGTACGTAGGCAAATTCGCGCGACGATAAGCATGCGAAATTCGACCAAGTTTCACACCGTAAGTCGTTACCATCTGGTAACTCGATTTTCCTTTGTAATGTTTACGACGCCTCACATCAGTTTTCGTTAACATTAATTTTTGTTAACAAAATAAAAAGAATCACTCTATGCAAAATTGAGATATCAGCACGCTTCATGATTTATATTATAATTTATTAAACGTTACTTTACATTTATCGATCCCGAAAGAAAGGACATTTGCTGTACAATGTAATTTTATATTCAATTTGTACCCCATTTATTATCTTATTATATTTTTCTTATTCAATTCATGTAATTTAATTTTATTCTGACTTTTAATTAAAATAAGATATATGAGAGAGGACTATTTTACTTTATAATTTCTTTCCTTTCTTTAAAAAAAAAAAATCACTTTTATAATCTAACTGTTATTTTCTTATTAATTCTTCTTCTCTAGTTCAATTTTAAATTCAATAAGTTTTGATATTAAGTTCAATGAGTTTTTCTATGAATATCGAATGGGATTTTCACGAAGGGCTGTTCCGATCTCTGGACTTGTCTTGACATTACATCATAGATTTCCTCGATACGTCTTCATTCGCGCGAAGGACTTCGTTACCCTATTAACAAAATCGATATTAGCTATGTATACAATATGCAAAATAGACGTATCAATATATCTATATATGTTTATTACAATATAGAATACAAGCATGCATTTGATGGCATCGAGCACAAAATCGAATCGAGGAGCTTGTTTTTTCAGACTCACTATAACAACGAATTTGATTGGACACATTTAGTGCGTACTGATGAACATTAAAGCCATTATATTGACGTAAATATATGTTTGTTATAAACCGGTTAAGCAGTGAAATACTCAATTTCACTTTTAAAGCGCTAAAAAACTACTGAAGTAATGCACCTGCATACGCGCTTTTCAGCGCTACTGTGCTACGTGGGTAGTATTTGTATCGATACCAACATAGTAAGAATTATATTTAAAACATTTATGATAAATCCACATCCATATTTTTTAGAGTACTTAGATAATATATTTAAACAAAAATTTTATAATATAAAATTTTGTTAGAAATTTATAAAGCTATGCAAACATTGTAACGTTTGGTTTTCATTTAAGAAAGAATTAGAAATATAATCTCCCTTTATTATTATCCAATATATTAATTGTAGGAGTGCTCAGATTAATACAACGTTTCAATAAAGAAAATCGATATACATATAGAAATGTAAAATTAAACAGATTTTTAAAAAAACTTGTTGAAAGACATACTTGATAATCGAAAATATTATTAATAAATTGATCTATTTTTCCAATTTTTTAAATCTATATCTTCTCATACTTAATTAATTTTCTAAATTTATGTTAAATTAATAATATAATAATATCTCTATTATTTATTATATAATAGTATTTCTTTTCTGTGTTTTCTCAAATTCTTCCTGTTTTAATATATACATTTTATTATATTTACAAAATAGATTTTTTTACTTAAAATTTTATGTTAATCTGTCTCTAATTTATACACGTTTACAAAATGCTAAATGTCTGAGAACAAGAGACAACACACATATGTGTTTCAAATTCTTTTCTCAAAGTTTCCTTCGTGCGCATTAGACACAATTACGTTTCTGCTGACTAGCTCGAGCACAATGGCATTGCCACACTGGATCCTACCGCTGTTGATCCTGGGAACCAGCGCGATCGCGCTGGTTCCCGCGGCTCGGCAATTTCATGATGAAGTCCTCAAGAACAATCTGCGGAAGCAGAAAAGATCTCTGGACGTGGCGGATTCGCCGGAGTATTACAATGACCTGCACTCGTTTAAGTACCACGGCGGTGACACTAATCGGAAGTTTGACCGTGATTTCGATGAGGACGACGAGGAAATCGAGTTCCTACCTGGCGGTAAGGTTTCAAAAAGCAATTTTTTTTTTTTAGACAGTTTCACAATTCATGGTTAATTTTTAACCGAGGTTTAATTTATTCTTCGTCTCTTTCTAATTCTAAAATTGGAAAGAGATGAGAAATAAGTTAAACCTCGATTAAGAATTGATTATGAGTTGTGAAACTGGGTCTTAGACTCCGAGAAAGAGCGAGGAAAAATAAATTTTCGGTATATATTTATAAATTTTGTATCAGACCTTTGTGTTGTATGATATTGGATTTTCCTGCCGTGTTGTATCGTATTGAATATGTATTATTAAGATGAAACTTACTATATATAAAGGAACATTTATGTAGGTTGTATAATTATGCCGCGTAACCGGTAAATTCAATAAATTATTTACATGCTGCCATTTGTTGTAAAAGTTAAATTTGAGTAAACGGTTATGGCATAAGTATATTTCATGTTAACGATCGGTCATTACGAACAAAAGCATTAAAATTGTACTAAACTGAACTGATTACATCATAAGTTAATATTTACGGCCTACATAAATGCTCCTAACAACGCTCATAACAGTTCCCATAAAAACCTGCAGATGATCTTTATGAATTAAAAAAAAATGTTGTCTAACTTTTTATAAGAATATATAACCACATTTTTCAGATTGGTGTAAAGGATAATTTATAAATTAATCGATCGGTCAACTTTCAAATCGATCGATTAGCGTATAAATTATCCTCTACTGCAAAATGTAAAATTTTTAAAGAATTTTTATGATATTTATAGTCGAAATATCCAATATTGAACATTTAATCTGCTATTCCTAAACTATAAAGTGTACCTTCCTTTTCCTCGAGAAGGCTCTGCTAAATTGTTTTTCCCAAAGTTGATTTCTTTGATCTTACAGTAGATTCTGCCTTTAATTGCAATCATTTTTATCGTGGTTTCAGACAATGGTCAGTTGGAAACAGTGGGGGAGGGTCTTCAGGGCATAAACAACAAGCTACTCGAAAGAGCATTGCTCGATTATTTGGAGACTTTACCTGAACAGGTAAACTAATTAATTCGTTAAAGCCGAGTATTTCACCTTCGGATAAATTATGTAATTTAGTTAATGGATGAAAAAGCGAGCTATAAATTGATTTATCGGTAATCCAATCTCAATGAAAAAAAATGGACATAAAGATAGCCATTTTCCGTTTCTGTAATTAAAACTGATAAGTTTATAAAATAAAATACCAATTTAATATTAATTTTATTCAGCTTGGACAGTAAAAAATTTGTCAAAAGATTAGCAGTCCATGCAATAAGCTTTTTTTATCTAAATCCATATAGTTTATTATAAATTTACATATAATTAATAATAAATATAATGAAGTTATACATAATTTATAAATATTTATATAAATATTAAATACTGTATACATATTTATATTAAATAATATAAACGTAACAATTTCTCGTTAAAATTGTAATAAAATCAATTTTTAAAAGAGACCAAAGATGATTAAAAGTCTCTTTCTCCAAAAAAGAGAGAAAATTTCATTTTGCTAATCGTAATATTCATTCCTTCTCTAACATAAAAATCGAAAGCAAAAACATTTTAAACAATCAAATTGAACAAGGTGTGGTAGAGAGTCTCGATGAATGACATCAAGTATCGCGATGATAATTGCTTACAGGAAGAACCAGTGGCCTCGATTTTCCGCGAGCGCGAGCGAAGCGGTAGCCGCAAACGGGGTGGCGCCGGCGAACGAATGAATCTGGATAACAAGGATCTGATGAAGCTATTCGTGGAGGAACTGCAGGACGGTTCTCCGTACGGTGCGCTCATGGAAGTAAACGATGACGACGACTATCTAACCGCTTTACAATCGCTTTACGACAGATACAGAGCTGGTAGAGGGAACAAAGTATACGAGTGAGTTCGATATTAATCCCTTTAACTTGTGACATTAAAGATCACAATGATAATGTAAAACGCGAGCTTTAGCGTTCTATCGATTTATGCATATATTAACGACATAAATTTTAGATAAGTTGATCTCGATTATGCTTTGTTGGTTTTTTTAATCGGTCTTCAAATTTACTATACGTGCTCACACACACACACACACACACACACACACACACACACACACACACACACACACACACACACACACACACACACACACATATTGTTGGACGTTTAGGTCAATTTAATTAAACAGCTCTAAAGAAAAGAATAAAAATTTTTCACAAAAATGATTTTGCGTTAACAAACGAACTCGTAAAATATATAAGAAAAAAAGTTTTTAAATAAAATATTAGTAAGGAAATAAATATATTTTAGGTCAAATATAGAAAAGACAGACTAGGGTTAATAGCAGGTAATCAGATAACACAAAATCCAAAATCAGGACACAAGACATCTTAGAATGACATTGTAGACATCTCAGACATGTTAAAATGTTCCAAAGAGTTTTTCACGCTTACTAAGATATTTACATTGCTTTCTTAAACATTCTTTTTTGTATAAAAAAATATATAATAAATTTTTATAAATAATATAATATCATTTTCGTCCTAAAAATGAGGAAGATACAGACGACCGTTAATGGGTAAAAAAAGGGACTTAAGCACATAATATTTATTCGATAGAACGACAGGACCAATGTCTTGGGGCGAGCTTCTTAGCAAAGGCCCGTTGCTGAGAAGCCAGACGAAGGACGGCAACGACGACGAGTTCGTGGATCGCGATCAGGATCAAGACATCCTGTATTTTCCGGCGGAACGTAGAAACGTAAATGGTCGATTTCCCATCGGCCGTGAATTCGGCAGTTATCGCAAACTGACGAAACGCTATCCGGTCGCTAAGAGAAGCCCCAGGCCGACCCAAACCAGATTAAAGTCCACGGATCCCAAGGTAAAACAAACAACGCCGCGCCGTTGCTGTTTGGAGATAATTGCTCTGTCATTCGCTATCAATCATTTCGTATTGATTTCGCGGAGCGCTTTTTACGAAATTACAAAGAATCGAACGATGCTGACGTAGACATACACGGAAAGAACGATTTTGCAAGAGTAGCTAGAAATTCAACTAGATACAAATCTATAAATAATTTTGTTGGACCATAAAAATAATTAAAAATTTAGCTAGATACAAAATTATTAAACTAGATACAAAGATGTCAAAGTGATTTTGTTGGACCCGTCAAAATAATTAAATATGTAGCTACATACAAAATAATTAAAAATTTAGTTAGAAACAAATCAAGATTCATTATGTGGGATACTCAAGCATAATGAGCAATGCTGCAAAAAGTTCAGTCTGGTCCTTTATTCTTGTTTCAAGGTTGCTCAAGACTTGGGAGCCCTATTCGGCACGCAATTCACGGACTCGCACAATCACACTCATAAATCCGATCACGAACACGACCACGATCACGAACGCAAGCAGCAATTTAACCAGAGTCACGACCACGAATACAAGCACGAACCCAATCAGAATCATGATCACGAACACGAGCACGGTAGTCACGAAGGCAAGTCAGAAACTCCATCAAAAGTGACGCCGGCTCCGAAGGGCCAAAAGGAAAACGTTACGAAGACCGCCAAGTCGAAATTCGTCCAGGTGAGGAAGAAGAGCGTCGATTGGTCGCAATATTTCGGCATCGATCGAAGGAAGAAGAAAGCTACCTTCACGGCCGGACAGGGCACGCAGAATCAGGACGACGAATGGATGTTGCAACGTTATTATGAGGTACATTGTAATTATTGAAATTTTCTTGTTGAATGCACAGTGACGGCAATAAAAGTGAAAATAAATATTTTATCATTCACCTGATTATTTATATGAACAAATAATAATATAGCTTTTGACTATAAAAAGGCACCAATTTATTACATTTTCTCGGAAAAGGTGGTAATAAAATTAAAAAAAATAAACAAAATATTAAAATTGTTATAAAAATGAATATGACTTTTCAATAAAATTATGTTTTTTTTCGTTAAATTGTTTACGTTAATTTTTGGAAATGTTTTATACTTTTGATCTTAATAATAGTTGAATTTTATTTATTTTTACGGAATACAATAAGGATTTTATAAACGAGTATAAGGATGTTTATTAACAGAATATGGCTGAAAATTTGAAATCAAAGGACGATGAGAATGAGCGGAAGGATAAACTTGAGCAGATGGACTCAAAATTGAAATATATTAAGGACCTAATTGTCGAAGAAGCTATGAGGTACGCCGCTTCAGAGGATGAAGCAGATCTGCAAAAGGTAATTTTTCTATTGGCATATAAATTTTATATTCGGATTATAAATAAAATTATTTCAAAATACTATACAATTATAAAATTTTCAGAAAATGTAATTATCCTCAATTTTTAGGTACTATTGATTGATTAAGAAATATGTTTAAAAAATTGAATGTATACATGATTAGAAATTAATTATATAAAGAAATAAAAATCTATAAAAATATTTGACAGGTGAAGGATAAATTAATGTCGCGAATGGCAGCGGCTTATTCGTTGCAGAAGATGCGAAAAGCACTGAGCGAGCTTCGAAACAATGTTGCAGCTCAGAAGGAGGCGCAGAGGATGCAAAAAGAGGCGCACAATAATTTTACGTCTAATTTTCGGGAAAATAGTAACAGCAACAATAATCCAAGTACTAATGGCGGCACCGATAGTAAAACTGATGAGAAGCGAAACAATATCCACAACAATTTAGAGGAAACCGAGTGTAAGTATATTCGAAAGAGAGTTAGAAATCATGGTGAAAATTACAAAGATTATCGCGAACGCATAATTCTATAATATAATTTTCAGATTTTCTATAATCCTGTGATTTTATTTGGAGATTCTATTGAAGATTATTTATTTTAATGGGGATTCTATAGCTTTATTTAATATAATAATATAAACTTATTAAAGCAAAATCCGCTTGAAGTCGAATAAAAAGTAACGTTTTATTATTCTTGGAATTAACTTTTATTTAGCTTTAAAGAAAGCTTTTTAACTTTCAAATGAAATATTATTTATCTCTCACTTCTATGAAGAAAAGATTAGTTCCAAAGAATTTGCAAGTCAGAAAAATAGCTTAATAAGTTTGGAAATTTGTACAAATCCAATAAATCGAGTTAATAAATAAATATATATAAAATAGCTAATGCAAATTATACAATATAATTGCTTGAATTATACAGCCATTGAGGAACCCAAAAACTGTCCGGAATTAGAAGCCATCGAGTGGCGATGCCGAGCCGTAGATAACTTGGCCGGTGACACATCTCAGATGCTATACGTGCCCTGTGTCAAACTGCAGATCTGCAAAGCTTGTGTACGTTACACAGATTCTCATTTTTACGTTACAGATATTTTTGATAATTTAGAAATTAAAGATAAATTGATCTAATGACACACACACGTGTACTATAAATGTTATACAAAAATTCTAAAAAAGACTCTAAAATGTATCCAGGAAATTCTGAAAAGTTATAGAAAATTTTTCATCACGGAAACTCTATTAAGATAGTTCCAAAATTTAAACGACTTTTATGCTTCGTTTGACTTTTTTTTAATTCCCTATTCTACGGAAAGGCTACAGCAAACTGATTTTTACCAGACGCAGGACGAGGAGGGGTTGTTACCCTGTCTCGCTAACTACGCCCTGGAGGCCGGTAAGATTTGCGACGCGTTTGAGTCCAGAGACGAGCAGCCGCGGATGACAGCGGTACACGAGAGTGAGAGGCAGTCGTGTGGAAACACTGCGTTGTTGCTATCGCAGCTACATCCGCCCGGAACGGCGATCGTGCAGTGTCGTGCACGGAACGCCCACGACTCGTGTTTGCGGCGATATCACGCACGATACGAGCACCGATACTTTCGCACGTCGCCGGCGTACGAGAGCACCGGGCATCGCTTCCACCACGAAGGCGCCCTCGACACGTTGCAGCAAACTATGTACGAACGATAAGGATCAGGCTAACGAGAGGAAGCCACCCCCGGTTTGGCCGCGCGATAGAGTGGACCGCCAGTTATCCGGATTAACCGGGTATCGCCTGAGTACAGAGTCCCTCTGACGATCCGATTGAATGTGACAGAGATTTTTCATTTATATCGAAACTATGTTACTGTTGCTTACATTTCGTTTTTTGTTCAATCATCTTTGGCCTACGTTTCTTATCTAGAAGTTTCGTCCGGATAACGGCGGATTTACTCTATTATTAACCTTGCCCTTTGAGGATCGGAGTTTTCTAAAGTAACTTATAGAAGATTTTGTTTTCTGAAGATTTTTGAAGCTGAATTCGATTTCGGCCTCAGAATTCTAAAATTCAAATTTCAACAAATCGTAAAATTTGGTTTTAGGAGAATTAAGAATTTCAAAAGAGTAATAGTCTCCATGAATGAAAATCTACTGTTACTATTAAGCTAATAATTAAAATTTGAAAGTCAGTTTAGAAATCAGTACTGTTTGCGTAGCACTAATGAGTTTCAAATAAAACAAAATTCAAAACACAACATTATACTTCGCAATTAAAAATTCCCTAAAACTAAGCTTTATGACAGTCAAATTATTATTTAAGTTTCGCATATTTCTGAATCCATTATATGGAATTTTTTATTTTTGATCTCAGATTTTTGAGAGAGAGAGAATAAAGTATTATAAAATTATACTATAGCTTCATAAGTCAAGCTTCACAAAAATCAAGAGAAAGCAGTTTATTCATAAAACGAAAGAGATGACTCAAAATTGGGTTACCGGTCCACAAAGGGTTAAAGAATCTTCTGTCATAACGAAACATAAATCAAGATTAATCCTCATAAGGTACTATATAATCCATACAGCACAGATCTTCAAGGTAGAGGATCGTAAAATTATCGAACATCGAATATCCAAAAAGAATGTAACACCGGACTAGTCGAATATCCCGTATAAGTTCCCAAAAATTCTATAAAATAAGGAAAGCAAGGGAAAAATCATTAACATCTGATAATATATCTAAATGAAATTTTAAATTAAAAGTTTGCTGATGCAGAATTCTATTCTTTTCAGCTTCTTGCACTTTCAACTTTCCTCTTTTTCTTTTCACGTTGGGAAAGTTATCGCTATTTTTCCCTTGTTTTCCATCTTTAGAATTTTGGAAAATTTTTACCGGATATCCAGAAAAAAAATATACGATATCTAGATGAATAATTACTCTAGCATATATCTAACGGGACATCCGGTATCACATTCTTTTTGAATATCCGATATTCGATAATTTTACAATTTTTAGTGCATTTCTAGTTTTAATCATGAAGATGCTATGTATGGTACTAATTGAGGATTAAACTGATGCACGAAGAGTCATTCTCGACTCGAATTAAAATGGATTAGAATGATCGACAAAGACCGCATTAATTTTTTTAGAATGATGGGAAAAAGCGTACATTATTCTGAAAAACAGTAATTTTGCAAATGTATACTCAGAGAGAAAGCCATAGTAGCAACTATAAAGATGACAGAAGTTTTATATGTCGAATTAATGTACATGATAATTAAACTATTTTACAGTTATCGCAACTATTAAATAGTCTATTTAATTATGTACATCAGTATATTCAATTATGCATACTAATTCTATCTATCTACTTTTACTTATGCAATTGTCACCTTTATAGTCATTATGCTTTTTTCTGAATGTGAAGTCCCATTTGTCCATTTCTTTTCGATTCGAGATTTTGAAAATACGTATTCGATATGTGAAACAGCATTTTTTGCATCCGTCGCGTATACATTTCTCGTCAGAGCGAGATTTCAAAATCCTCAATTAAAAAAATAATTGTAAAAAATTATTAAAAAAAAAGAGAATGATGTCTAATTATAGCGAATTGATGCGTTTGATTTATTAAAAAGAAATAAACTTATAAAGGATTAAAAGGAGAGAGTAGATATGTCTAATTAAGAGAATAAGATGTTTTATCTATTTGCGAGGTGTGCTATCCCAAGTAGAACAATAAGTCATCATGACATCAAAATGATGTCAAAATAACTCTAAAATGATCATTAAAAGTCATTTTTCAATCATTTACGATTCATTTTAATATTGTTTTGACATTATCGCGACTTATTATTCTGCTTGGGATTCGTCTGGACGGCTTTCTGAAAACACGTCCATTTCTTTCTCTCCTCCTATATTAAACTGAACAACGATTAACGAGTTATAGAGACAATAATAATATCCCTGACAGAGATTTTATTCGAAAGACGACTTGTCACGAAAATCGAGCTTTGCGAACGTTGGCCACCAAAAAAAGATCGCAAAATTTCATCGAACGAGAGTTTGGACGAACGCCTCGCAAATGAAAGTTGAAAGAATGGGATCCAATAAAAAAAAATATATGTGTAAACTATTGTGTTAAGTATCCTAAAAAGAAAAAAAAAAGTATTGTAACAAGAGCATGTGTCTCCTTCTAGCGCATTTAATTCTCCGTGCCCGCGCCAATCAGGATTACATTAGTGCGATTATTCGCGTTTAATTTCTCACAGGCAGTAGTTACACGCGGAATCGCGAGTTCAACGCGTTTTTCAACATCGGGAGACGTGACGAGAGAAGGAAGAATATAAAGATGGAGAACAAAGAAAGGATACTTGACGCGGCTTCCAAAGAGTCTATCTTCGCAAATCTATATCTATTATTACTGTCTATTATATCAGATATTTACGTTACATGGCGTTATACGGATATCGATACGCATATCGATGTGTCAGTATATTCGAAATATAATAAATATATTTCAACATAAATGCATCCGTTTTACGGCTCAATGCCTCAACACACACCTTATATATATAATTTTGCGATATACAGTTTTAGCCAAAAATATTAGGCCTTCCTTATTAGACCTTATTAATTTATTATAATTTTAGCTTAAAAATTGATTTATAACGTTTACGTCTGTTTCACACATACACACACAAATTCCATTAATGAATAAAAAAAAAGTATAAATTCTAATTTTGGTCAAAATTGTACGTACATATATAGTCGGAAAATTTGTTTTAAATTTAACATAACTTAATCATCGGTCCATCCAAATTTTTGTGTTAATTTAACTTGTGTTAAGAAATATATGAGTATAGTACAAATATATTTTGAAAAAATTAATACAAAAAATACAACACTGACACAATTTGTAAGTAAATTATGGAAACATGTTTCTCTGCAGTAAAATTATACATTTTTATAATATATTAAATAAATTAACATATTTTATTTATTTTATTTAGAATTTAAGTTTTAAAATATGGTACATTATTTTTTTATTTACTTATTACTCATAAATTGGATTATTTTAACAAATTTAACACTAAGAAATGTTGAATATCAATTTAATATTCGAAATGTTAAAAATTCAACACAAAAATTTTAACGAGGACCCATATTCAATACAAATACACGATATTTTTTACTGCATACCTGGTTGTCGCGCGATTCGATACCGTCACCGTTATTCAAATCAATGAAATCCGCAGGTACAGAAATATCCCGTATCACTTCTAGTATCTCTAAACATTGCGGCTTGAAGAGCTTCAGCAATTCTAGCTGTAGCTTCGCGCAATCAACTGCAACAAGTTCGATCGTATATTTTTAACATCGATAACTCTTAATTACCTATCCGAACAGAATTTTTGAAGATCTTCGAAGAGGACACTCACTCCGCAGCCTCGACACCTGTTCGAGTCTGATTTTCAGCTCCATGTGCGCTTCATTGATCTGACGGATGATTTCCTCGTAAGAATCTTCCGACATGACGATCGGATGGAGTTAACTGATCCTGATTAATAATAAATTGACTTTATTTATTCATTTGTTTTTATTGAAGTCATAAAAACATAATTATTTTTGTATGTTATTTGTTTACTTACTCATAAACTATATTTTTAACATAAAAAAATATTGAATATCAATTTAACACACAATATTCAAGTAGCACATTAACATTATATTAAATTATTATCACTCGAATATTAAAAATGCAACACAAAAATTCGAATAAGGATCGGTTTTAGAACAAACAAAATATTGTACATTTATATATACCTGACGCTGATTGAAATCTGTAATTCGCTCTCCTGATGCAGTTAATGCGAAAAGAAATCTCTCACAAGGAAAAGAGCTACGGTTTTCGCGAGATAGTTAACTTGTCGCCGACAGTGTCGCCATCATAACAATGTTGACGCGTTCAAATTACTGGTCTGAAAAAGATGTTAATATTAAAATGAGAAAAAGCTTGTGAAAAACAATTTTTATTATAACAAAGAATGAAATCAAATTCAGTATATTATATATATATATATATATAT